GCTTAAACTAGCCTATTTTATTAGTTTTTACTACTTCTACCTCTATAACCTACGCCTTCTTCTCTTCTATCTTCTTTATCTCCTTCTATCGCTCTAGTTACGCCTGTATAATCTTAGCTACCTCGCCTAAGATAGATAGCTCGCTATTCTCTTTATTATAAATAACAAAGTATCGCTATAGCGCTCTTCCTTAAAAAAATGTCTGCACTTTAACCTTTTCGTACGCAGTATTATCCTTCTTATCCTATAGTAGCTTATATACACTCTTCTAATATATCTATAACTTATTAATATTAATAGTAATATATTCGCACTTATCCTCTACACACTAAAAGCTATCTAGCGGTATACTAAGCTCTGCAATTAGTAGGCCTAGCAGTATAAGTAGCTAAATCTCTTGCGGGTTGCGAATCTATTCGCGATTATTATAACTCGCGATAACCTACTACTATAGCTAGCTGCTAATACTATAATATTAACGCAGATGCATATTAAGATTCTATAGCGTAGTCGCGTACTACTTATAGATAAGCGTCTTATACTTATGTAGATAGCATATTATATCCTTAATCGCATTAAGTAATGCAAGCAGATTATGCAGGCAGCGCGCAGTTATTGCAGTAGTTAATATTTCTTAAGCGGCTAGCGCGTTAGGCAGTTACGCGATCTACAAGAACTCTATATTTTCTACAGCTTAATATAACGCGCAACTATAGATAATTATTAGTATTATTATCTAAAAGATATATTCTAATAGCAAAAAGTTAATATATAGTGTAAAAATAATAGAATTCAGATAGCAATGTCCGCGAGGATACTAAACGAGGATACTCTTAAATTCCGCTGTTCTAGATTAGCGAGCCCTAACGCTTAGCCTAGTTTAGCGCGAGAATATATATCCTCGTCGCTTTATATTAGTTAGGACAGATAGCTCGCTGTTCTCTTTATTATAAACAACAAAGTATCGCCGTAGCACTCTTTCTCGAAAAAATGTCTGCACTTTAACTTTTTTATACACAGTGTTATTCTTCTTATTCTATAGTAGCTTATATACACTCTTCTAATATATCTATAACTTATTAATATTAATAGTAATATATTCGTACTTATCCTCTACATACTAAAAGCCGTCTAGCGGTGCACTAAGCTCTGTAATTAGTAGGCCTAGCAGTATAGATAGCTAAATCTCTTGCGGGTTGCGAATCTATTCGCGATTATTATAACTCGCAATAACCTACTACTATAGCTAGCTACTAACACTATAATATTAACGTAGATGCGTATTAAGATTCTATAGCATAGTCGCGTGCTACTTATAGATAAGCATTCTATACTTATATAGATAGTATATTATGTCCTTAATCGCGTTAAGTAATACAGATAGGTTATGCGGGCGGCGCGCGGTTATTGCAGTAGTTAATGTTTCTTAAGTAGCTAGCGCGTTAGGCGGTTACACGACCTATAAGAACTCTATATTTTCTATAGCTTAATATAACGCGCAATAGTAGATAATAGTTAGTATTATTACCTAAAAGATATATTCTAATAGCAAAAAGTTAATCTATAGTATAAAAATAATAGAATTTAAATAGTAATGCCCGCGAGGATACTAAACGAGGATACTCTTAGATTCCGCTGTTCTAGGTTAGCGAGCCCTAACGCTTAGCCTAGTTTAGCGCGAGGATATATATTCTTGTCGCCTTATATTAGTTAGGCAACTATAGCGAGTACACTAGTCGAATTAATATAGTTACCCTAAGAGTAATAATAACAGATACTATAGAAAGTTATTAAGTTAGTATAAGGACATACAATAGAGAAGAGAGAGGTAGTATTATAGTTATAGAGAGAGGAGTAGACGAGCACTAGGTTTTGTAGAAGACTAACGGCTGTATTAGGTATAATAATACCTAACCCGCGAGGACAAAGAGAGCGCTAAGAAACACGTAACCTGCTCTGCAGTCCTACGCATATTATATACATTAGCGCTATTAGCTATAATAGAAATTCTTAGAAATCCTACTTAGCCTTACTACGTCCTAACTCCTAGAACTTACTAAGACTTGCTAAGACTCGTAAGACTATAGAGTTACCTTAAGTATATAGCTTAGGCACTAAACTCTTATAGCTTAGTGTATTTAACTTCGTACAAGACTCTAGTATTTAATCTAAAGATTATACTTCTTTCTTAACCCCTTATAATATTATATTGTTCTACTAAACGTGCTATTACACTCTCGTACTATTACATCATTCTACTAAACGTGCTAGTACACAACTCTATCTAACGCACTCGCTTATACTCTAAGAACTAACTCTTAGGTTATCTTAGAACGACCTTCACAAAACGTCTCTAAAGCTATCTATAGTATATTATCTAGAGATAGATAGATAGACTAAGAGGGCTAATACTAACCTAAAGCAGTATCTACGCGCTTACGTTAACTACTAGTAAGATAACTAGATATAACTTCTGCTATTAGCAGAGTTCGAAGCTAACTTAGCAATATTCTTAGTAACTAGAATAAGTCCGTTCTAGGCTACGCGAGGCTACTAGCTCTAATTAGAATTAGAGCCTCTATACGCACTTTCTTCTAACGCAATCTTTACCTAGCGCCTATAGTTCTACGACGCTAACTAACTAATTAAATAAATTTATAAGACTTACTAGTTTCTACGCGATAAGCTTATATAGACCTAGAAGAAGATGCGTAAGTTTGCTAACATTTATCGCTATTCTGCGCCGCAATTTATTATTAGCGATAAGGTAATACTTAACACTAGGTATATTAGAACCGCGAGGCCTAACTAAGAGTTAGATTAGAAGAATCTTAGTCTTCTTATAGTAACTAGAGTTATTAATAATATAGCTTATAAACTAGATCTCTCTCTAGGTCTTAAGAATCTATTCTCTACCTTCTATCTATAGCTTCTCTAAGCCTATAAAGATAATACTCTCTCTAGCTAAGCCTATAATAATATAGCCTCTAAAGTATACCTAAATAAAGATAGCGAGACTAAGTACGTTATTATCTAGGTGCTTAACTTAAAGGTTAACTATTACTACTATAATCTATATATAGAAAGAAAAGAGTACTTAGTATATATAGTAGAGTAGCTTAGAGAGAATTAATTAGAAGTATAGCAGCTATATTATAATCTAAAGAGTAGTAAGAAAATAGTATAGAACTTCTATACTTAATATTTAGGTAAGCTAGATTCTTATATTACGTTTTATAACTATAATAATAATAGAGTTCTTATAATAGCTCTAATCTAACTACTAGACTTTATATACTTAGAAAGAACTAGCTAGTTATTTAATAATTATCTTAGCTGTAAAGCTTCTAAAGCCTGCTAGGTTACTAATTCTAACGCACGTCTCTGCCTAACTTTAGCCTCTATAGTTATTAGTAGTCGCGAGCTAATAAAGACAGCCTTAGCTAATACGTTTATCTCTAACGCGACCTAGTATACTAGATAAGAGAATAGAAGTTAGCTGCTAGTCTCTATTAAGAAGCTATTAGTCGCACGTAGATATCTCTATAAAGAAGCACTTAGTTTACGCTTAGATAGAACTTTTAAGCGTTTTAGAGAGGGGTTGTATAATAGTTTAGTGCCTAAGAGCCTAAGTCTAGGCTCTACTCTACTAAGTATATAGACCCCGCGGAGTAGATCTTCTCCTCTGCACTGTAATATCTTTGAAATTTAATACAATCGTTACTTAATACTCTGTACGACTCTTATACCTCTATTTCTTATCGGCCTTATCGCTCTTACTAAAAATCGCTTAGAGCTAGTAGCTCTAAGCACGTCCTCTAGAGTAGATTAGTAAGCTCTAACGCTTAGCCTAGTTTAGCACGAGAATACGTATTCTTATTGCCTTATATAGGTTAGGTTTCTAACTATAGTAAGGCCTTTAGGCGGTAAAGTTTAAAAGCCTTAGAGCTACTACCTTAGGCCTACCTCTCTATTTCTTATTAGCCTTATCGCTCTTACTAAAAATCGCTTAGGTCTAGCAGACCTAAGACGTTCTCTAGAGTAGGCTATATGTTGCTCTTAAAGCGCCTAACAACGACGCCGATGCGCTAAGTGGGCTTCGCGCGGTCCTCAACCTAGCGTGCTCGCTATATCCAATCCTATGTGTCTGCTTCGCAAAGGAACAAACCTTCGTTAGGCGGAGGCCAAAACAACGCTGTTGATGCTGTTGTGGACGCGCGCGAGCGTCTAGGCGTTGACTTTGTGGAGCTCTAAGCGCGGCGCGTTGTCGCTTGCCTTGAGGCTGGCGTTATCGGCTATCGCGCCGCTTGCAGTTGTATTCGAGCCGCTGACTGAATTTAAAGCTAGGGCTGTCTTCGAGGACGAATTTGCTGTGCGCGTTGGAGGCGTGAGGATTGCGCTGCACGATGCGCGTGGAGAATGCGAGGTTGTGCTGGAGGATGACGTTGTGGAGCTCTCGCAACTGCACGCGGACCGGAGGGTCCGGCCGCGGCAGACTGGACCACAGCAGGCGAGCGGGCCAGCCACTAGCGACGCCCTTTTCTATACGCCAGTTCGCCGCGGCACCGGGCTTTGCGATGTCCGGCAGCTCGCAGTCGGTCCGCTTCTGATGTTGATTCGCGTGTCTCGAAGAACACCACTTCACGGACTGTGCTTGCGCCACGGCCTGAGTCACAAGCTAGGAGTAATCGCGTCAGAGGTGCCTTGAAGCCACCATGAGAACCGGCGGCGTGGCTGTGCGCCCCCGAAGGTCGCGCGGTTGAAAGGGCGCACTTTCCTTGTGCGCAGCGCTTGACAATACTACCGACAAACGACACCAACGATTGGATTGGTCTGTGGAAGGCGTTCTATGCGCGTCGCGTCCAGACACAATGAATGAGAGGCTGGCGTGACTCATCGTCACTCATTCCTCGCCGCTATCATGGCCCTTGTAGGTAAAGATACAAGAGGCGGTCGGTGATCGCACATTGAGTCGCACGACAACCTTTCGACTCCGAACAATGCCACTCCAATTCTGGAGGTCGCCCGGCCAGGGCTCCAAGGACACCGACCCACTACTCGAAGCAGCATTTCCTCCGCGAATGGAGGAAGATTGCCTGAAGATCGATGACGAGGATAGCGATGATAATAGCGATGGGGACGAGGACGAGGACGAGGACGTGAAAGAGACTCGTGCCGAGCGGTTGCGCCAAAGTGGAGGCTGGCTTGGCTACCTGAAAGACTTTACCATCTTTCTGCCTTACGTCATACCCAAACGAGACGTCAAAGTTCAGATCTGTCTGCTTATCTGCCTCGTTACGGTTGCGATGCAGCGCGTCCTGCAAGTCGCCATTCCATACGTCCTTGGCGTGATTGCAGACAAAGTCACGCACGGATCGATACCTATCCGAGAACTCCTCATCTTCCTTCTCTTGGACCACCTTAACAGCGAGTCGGGATTGATCTGCATTCAAGAGCTGTCCAAGATACCCATCAAGCAGTTCTCGTACAAGCAATTGACCAACGCTGCTTTCAGCCACGTCATGTCGCAGTCGATCGACTTTCACTCTACGCAAGACTCAGCCGAGGTCATGAAGGCCGTTGAGCAGGGCGAAGCGCTGGGCAACGTACTCGAGACGGTGGTCATCGAAATTTTGCCAACCTTGATCGACGTCATCGTTGCTTGTACCATCTTCTACCAGAAGTTCACTCCGGCGGTGGGCATGGTCCTGCTTGGCGCATCAATCGCCTTCCTGGCTGCCGAAGCCTTGTCTTCACGGTTCACAACCGGCCTCCGGAGAAGAGTGACGAAGGCTGAGCGGATCCAGATACGGAAGATGCACCAAGCGATTCAAGGTTGGCAAACTGTGGCGTACTTCAACCAGTTCAAGAGGGAGGCCAGTTTACTCTCAAGTGCTGTAGGCGACCACATGAGGGCAAGGACACGTTTCGAAGTACGAGAAGCGCTGATCAAGGCTGTTGTTGAGCTGCTAGTACCGACTACCTTCTTCGCCCTGGCTTACCTCATCCTCCAGCGCATTGCTGCGGGCACGGCATCCCCAGGAGACTTCGTCTTCTTTCTCACATACTGGGACTCTATCATCTACCCGCTGAAATTCTTGACCGATCATGTCCGGTGGCTGGTGCGTGACTTTGTGGACGCGGAACGAGTTCTTCACCTTCTGCAAACCCAGCCAACAGTCACCGACGCACCCGAAGCCTACCCGCTCGCGGTACAGGATGGCGAAGTCCGATTCGAAGACGTGTCCTTCAAGTACGACTCCAGCCGCTACGCACTTCGGGATGTATCGTTCACGGCGTCGCCGGGTCAGACCATCGCTCTCGTAGGCCAAACCGGGGCCGGCAAATCGTCGATTCTAAAACTCCTTCTCCGCCTACACGACGTCACATCCGGTAGCATTACCATCGCCAAGCAGAACATTCGACACGTCACATTGAGTTCACTTCGCGACGCCGTAAGCGTGGTTCCGCAGGCACCCACGTTCTTCAACACCTCAATCATGGAGAACGTGCGATACGCACGCGACACCGCGACCGACGAAGAGGTCTACGAAGTGTGTCGTGCAGCCGCAATTCACGACACAATCATGCGCTATCCCAAGGCCTACAACACGCACGTCGGCGAGCGCGGTGTCAAGCTGTCGGGTGGCGAGGCGCAAAGACTTGCGATTGCGAGGGCGCTCCTCAAGGACGCACCGATCGTTCTGCTAGATGAGGCGACGAGCGCGGTAGACACAGTCACAGAGAGACATATCAAGACAGCACTCGAGAAGCTCAAAGAGGGGAGGATCGTGATTGTCATTGCGCATCGATTGAGTACGATCGTAGACGCAAGCTCCATCTTGGTGCTGCATGAGGGGAGTATCGTAGAGAGGGGAACGCACGAAGAGTTGTGCAAGAAGAAAGGGCGGTATTACGAGCTGTGGGAACGGTCATAAAACCCCTCATATCGCGCCGTACCAATAAGATAACAGAGAAGGGATTCGTGAAGGTTTCGTAGGGTGTTGCCGAAGTTCGGAAGCATCGGAAGCATCGGAATGTCGCATACGGCATAGCACCACAATGTAGAAAAGCCTCAAAGTGAGCTTCAGATAATTGCGATGGTCGCGATCGGGCGATGTACCTAAGAACAAGGCGCAGTAGAAAGAGCATCCGTCATAAGCCCGTAGTATTCATCGATCTCACCTTCATCAAGACCCGGAGCTGCTCGGCAGACGCGACGCGACGCGACTTAGAGCGCCGAGCATGTTTAACAAGCTAATGCCGGTACAATTCATAACATTCACCATCAACGTACTCGCCGTGTACATACATCACATCGCGCATGTCGGTTCACCGCATCGCTCACCGGAATTCTGCTTCTCGAAGGTTTCGTTGAGTTCTAGTGCAGCGCAGGCGAAAGTATCGAGCGCAAGGCGGTGTCGGAGCGCCCCTCCAATTCCCAACTTCATCGCGACCACATGCGATGGCCAACATGCGCAACAATCGCATGACCGAGAAGATCACAATTTCGATGCTGCGGATCTGCCCCGCAATGTCTGATTTTGGGATCCCAATACCAAGGTCTAGGTCGTAAGCCGGTGCTGATGTCATCAGACCAGTACACCAAGACCGCGCTCGTGGGTGCACCGCCCATTCGATCGCAATACTCTACAGGTCGGGGTGAAGTGTCGGTACAAATCTCCCGCTTCATCAGAACCTTCTGCGATGTTGGATGGTGTGATGGTAAAGTTCAGGTGGTAATCCGGTGCTTACTAGCGGCCAGCACGGTGTAGCCGGCATCAACCGCTGGCATGGCATCGTGAAGATGGCACGACAACCATATAAGCCCTCATGTCGCCCAAATTGATATCGGTACAACTCACGGTTCCTTCGCTTCCATCACTACAGACCTGCAACGAACACTCAAAGCCTCAATTCACTCACTCAAACAACCAACTCAATTCACCATGCGTTTCGCTCTCTCTACCATCGCCGCTGTTGGCACCCTCAGCAGCCTTGTCGCAGCCGACAACATCTACACCTACACCAAGCCCGGATGCTCCGGATGTGCCTTCTTCTTCAAGGACATCGACCACAACATCTGCGCCGTGTCCATCACAGCCAACGCAACTGACATCGCCGATGCGATCGCCAAGGGCGTGACCACGGTCCAGTCCGGCAAGCTCGAAGGTACGTCTACACATGCTTGACCCCATGCGAAAGCCACATCGTACTAACACACTCTTCGTAGTCCAAGAGTGCGGCGAGAAGCGATTCATTGCCTGGGACGAGGGCCCCGAGTCCAACGACGATGGCCTGCTCCAGTGCGGTAACATCGACCAGAAGCTTCGTATCACCGAGACCTCGACTTGCATCACTGGTGGCAACTTCCACGGTTTTAGCTGGACCGAGCCTGGTTCGGACGGCAGCGACTCCAACTCCAAGAGGCAGACTGATGACGCTGATGATGTATGGAAGTGCACTGGTTCCACTGAGCCCTATGGCGTGTACCTTGGCGGAAAGCACTACCAGGTCAAGGACATTGATCAGGCGGACAAGGACGCGTTGATGGACATGGCCTGGAACGACAACACTGATGTTCCTTCTGACTTTGAGAAGTACGCCTTTACTCCTGGCATGTAAATGTGGAATGGGGGAAGCGAGAAGGATCGGGGAAGCAAAGCGCTTCCTCGTTCACTTTCCTTCTTTTGGACGAACAGTCTGGCAAGTCGGGCCATGGAGGCGGAAGGATAATTCCTGGGTGTTATTAGTAGTTGCAGGCCGTCCCTAATACATCATATACCTCACCACCACGTGCTACTCTGTGAGCTCTTCACGACTCTCTATGTCACGTCTCACCCACATCATAACCTTGGCAGGCAGTTGGTCGCGGCCGATAGTTATCATAATCAGACGCAAAGCTGTCCAGAGTCGACCAGTTGACGCTACACCTATCTAACCGCAGCTCGCGCGCATCATTCGTAGAGAGCTATTCTTACATAGAACAGGACAGCAAGCAAAATATAGGCTTTGCGATAAACGTAACCCTTCAAACCTATGTCGCAAGGGGTTTATGAACGTGCACAACTGTAGATGCTCCATTCCAAGTTCGTCGAGACTGGGTAGTTAGCCGCTTGTACTTCGAGTGACGCCACGACCGCGATGGACTTCCAAGAGCGAGCGTTGATCTCGCGAGGCGCGACCGCCATTCAATGGACCAAATCGTCTCGGTCCTGCTAATCGAGCTGGTGTGCGGCGAGGCCTGAGTTGGACCGAATGAGCAAAAAGGAAAGTGATCTTGCAGATACGCGCAAGGCTGGCTCTGCGGCCAGTGGCGCAATCCCTACTTGAACGCTACCAAAGCGTATAGAAGCACCCATCTTCAGACGCCCACTAGCCGACTACGAGATAGTCGGTGGTGTGTATTGCGGGCAGATGCATAGTGCACGTCAACGCCGTGCAGAACATGTCGGAGTTGCGACGGCATGCTTCCTGTCGTGTAGGATTGCGCTTGCTTTTTACCGGTGTATCTGCGAAGATAGCGGCCCGCAGCTACATGCATCCGCTATGCACAGCTAGCTCCGATATTTTGCAGGCGCTGTTGTTCGTGGCGGTGTGGGTTGTTCTCTGCGCGAGAGCGGGAAGGATTGCCCCACCTCTGCACTTGGCAAGACCGAACCGCAGTTCTCTGTCGGGCCACGAACTCCTTCTTACCACTTCATCACTCAAGGATGGACGCTATACTTCTGATGCGCCTCTAGGACTGCCTCTTCTTGTTGCCAGACATCGACATCAGTGCCTCGAGGAACAAGAGGTGGTCCCCGTGCTCCGATTGCATCGTGCATGACAGCTTCGTATATGCGAGCTTTTGGCATCGGGCCGTTGCGCAGTCCGCATATTAAGCTGCAGCCACTTCGTCGACCCATTGTCCCAATTCCGTAAGCCACGTCCGGGCCAAGCGGCGTCTTTGACGTCCTCAACAGCGTCAAGATTTCTGTTATGACGAGTATCAACTCATACGAACGAATTAGCATTGGCGTTATTTGAACGGTATGCGTCATGTCAGGCGCCTGCACAGCACGTATGATAGTTGCGCATGTGAGTTTCAAGTCATTGCTAGAAACCAGTAGATCAGTTCCACAGTGCCCAGTAAGCGACTGGAGAGGACGGGGATTCTGTCGTTACTCATCGAATAACGCGGACGACACGATGTTTTCCTGGCCGCTCGGCTTTCAAGATCAATTCTCGAAATCACCAGCCATCACTGTTTCGCATGGTTGCACAGTTCCGAACAAGGATGAGGAGTGACTATAGATCCACGAAGATGGTGTGAGTCACTACCTACCTGCTCGAGGCTTGATGAAGTTGCGGTCAGCGTTTCAAGCGACACGAAGGTCGAGGGCACAGACACGACCAATCACACTTCAACGCAAAAAGCTTCAGTGCACATCGTTATAGCACGCTGTGGCGTGGCGTGCGATGGCGTGGTGTAGGGGAGTACTCGCGGACGGTTGCCGATGTCGCGATAGCAACATCTTCCATTCTGCGCATCAGTACGAAGCCGACTCAGCAATTCATCATGGGCATAGTAGCAACACTACGGCAATGACTACACCACCACGGCTTACTAGGTCTCGAACTAAGACTTCTTTCGCTGGGCGCACATCGAAGCTGGCTGCCCGCTCCTGTCTTCGAGCAATCAGGACCGCTGCAGCAACTAATGAGCCCGACATGCGGAGTCGCATCAGAGGTTCCTGATTGAGCTGACCGCTTTAGAAAGTCAGAAAAAGTATCGTGAGCTAGCTTTGAAGCGGCAAAAGGGATTGAGAATCGCTGTCGCGTCTGTCAAAGCGAGTGACTAATGGGCATGCGCACTATGCCGAAGGTGAGTGTGCGACGAGCCCTCTAGGTGCCTTCCGGGTATATATAGTACTGCAAGTTAATTCTAAAGTCCTCTTCCACTCGACTCTATCTTCAATCAACTCCTCAGAGACCCCATCCAAAAGGAATACTGTCTTCTTCTCAACTTCATCACTATCCCACGCCAGCCATTGAACATGACGTCCACTACTGGCATTCCACCCCCAGAGGTCCGTGTTCGTATCCTAAACATGAAATCAAGAAGGGCTCTCTACAGCGCCACTCGAGACACAAACGCCTTGAATCACGTCGACAGCACGACGATCTACAGCGATCAGTACTGGTACATCCAGCCTGGGAAGGGCAAACACCAAGGCCGTTATCTGGTCGTGAACGCAGCCAACGGCCGAGCTCTCTACGCCAACAACCGAAACGGCGCAAACGGCGGCAACGGTGAGGTCGGCACAATGGATAACCCAGGTTCCTTCGACGATCACCATTTCGACCTTGCTCAGACACAAGGTACCGGCGTGCGAAACAATCAGTTCCGTCTCCACACCCCTACAGGGCATGCCAATTTCTTCTCTCGCACCGAATACAAGCCCGAATTGGGTTGTCTGTCGGACAAGGAGAAAATTTACGACGACCACTGGTTCACCTTCGAACTGGAGCCGTTGGAATTCGTCAGGATCGAGTACGATGAAGAGCACCCAGAAATCATCACAACGGGTATCAGGCACTTCCCTCCGCAAAAGGCATTGAATCATCTGGAGATTGAGACGACGCAGGAGATGACGATTAGCCAGGAGACGGAACAGCAGTCAACGTTTACTTCCGAGATCGGGGTTTCCGTAACGGCTTCGGCCGAGTTCAGTTGCGGTGTGCCTTTATTTGCGGAGGGCAAGGTGAGCATTAGTACTACGTTGAGTACAAGTTTGGCGTGGGGGACTACGAATATCACGAGGCAGAAGTGGGAAGCAAAGGTGGTGCTCAAGTGTCCGCCCAAGTCTGCTACGCTCTGCACTGCTTCCGTGCTGGAGACAAGGCTCCGTATGCCTTTTGTGTCGTATTGGAAGACAGAGAAAGGTGGGAAGGAGGTCCAACTCAAGGGGGTTTATGAGGGGCAGAGCTGTGCTAGTTTGAGCACCGTGTCTTCGCATCTTCCGTACACGCCCGAGAAGAAGTGATATCCCACTATATGTTGATGGTAGACTAGGAATACTGGAGGAGTTAGTCATCAACAACACACTCATTTCGACATAGCGTTATGCATTTGCTCTCATATCCCACCCACGCACGTGCCCATGCCCATCTCCCCATGCCCATCTCCCCATCCCAGACCCATCTACAACTCATCCCTAACCTGCTCCTCCCCTGCACTCAAATCCGGCATAGCCATAATCTTAACGACCAAACTAGTCCAGCCCGTGAAGTGCTGCGTGCGCTGCCCTTTGCCAGTCTCAGGATTATATTGTTCCCAGGCAAAGCCAGTCTCCTTCCAGCTCTCGTACACAGTATTGACTAGATTCTTGCGGAGTTCGGTGTAGATCTTAGTCGCACGAGTGCGGTGGGGGCCGGGTGTGGATGCGACGTTCTGAAGAGGGAAAGTTAGCATACTTGGAATGCGTGAGAGGGGAGTGACATGGGACTTACGAGAAGTTGCGAGACAGCGAGGTAGTTGATAGGCATCCAGACAGGACCGCGCCAGTAATCTTCCGCGGTGTGGTAGAACTCGTCGCTCTTGCTCAAACTCCTGATGCCGTAAGGGCTCCAGAGCTCTTCTTCGTCCTCGATCAGGTCGAGTATAGCGCCTAGTCTATCGCTGTCCTTGTCTACCAAGCCCGTCAGGAAGGGGAACAGGGAGATGTAGCCTTTGTGGCAAACTAGCGAGTGCTCTTCGTAGTCGTCGATGGTGGCGTCGCAGTAGGTCTTGTCTTTCTTTGACCAGTGGAGATCGTCGATGTTGCGGACAATCGCTTCGTCGTAGCGTGCGAATTCTGCGGCGTCGTCTTGCTCGTCGAGGTAGATTGCGATGCGCTTGATTGCGCGAGTCATCATGCCCATCCAACTGATCAGGTCGACGTGCAGCTCACCAGGGTGTGGTGGCTGAGCGCGAGGGTAGTCGTCGAGACCCGAAGTGAGGATATGTGAAGGCGTGCGTCCGCGCCACCTGTAGCCTTCTTTGGTGGAGAAGGCCTCTCGGTCGTAGCTCTTGATATCGCCAGCCTGGGTCTTGCGGTACCAGAAGTAGTTGCGTTTGAGTAGTGGGTAGAGCGAACGGAGGTATTCCAGGGCGGCTTCGCGGTTCGAGAGTTGCATCGAGTAGGACTTTTCTTGCTGCAGTTTCTCGCTACTAGTGTCAGTCTTCATAGCATCAAGCTTGTCGAGGAACGACGTGATGACCATGAAGAGTGTGGGCGGGTTGGCGTAGTGAGGGTATTGAATCTGGAACTCCTCCGGCACCTTGCTGCGAGCTTCAGGACCGAGAATTTGTTCGCGCCCGATCCAGCCATCGTCGTCCATCAGCTTGAACCAGCTCTTAATAATGTCAAGTGTGAGGTCTGCATCCCAGTCGATGACAGGCAGCAGATGGAAGCCCTCGTCCCAAAGGAAACCACGAGGGAAGAAAGGTCGCGACGGAATGGCAGTGAACAACTCAGACGGTCCTTCTAGCTGCGCTGGGTTCCTAGCTCGCGCTTCAGCCGCCTCCTCCCAGAACCCTTCGCTATCCTCTTCGTAGGCGGGGTCGTAAGATCGGTCGACGCGAGAGTCACCGAAGAAGTAGCCGATGCCACCGATAAGGTTCGAGAAGAGCGACTTGCCAAACTCCTCATAGCGCTCCTTGACAAAAGGTGTCTGGGGCTTGAAGATATCCGTGAAGCGAGTCGAGAAGCTAGAGGTAACCGAATCGATCTGCTCGGTGAGATGCTCGGATGTGATCTTCTCGGGCGCCGATGCAGATGAGAAGATGATGTCGAACTCGAAGGGACCCTCAAAGACCTTCTGAACCAAATGCATGTTGCCCTTGCCCGGCAGATGCTGGATAGTGTAGACCTGCGCAGGGGGTGGTGGGTTGTCCTCGCCGTACTTGGGGACCAGGACGTCGATCTGGCCCTTCATGTGCGCAAACATCATGGCTTTGACCTGCCAGAGCGCATCCTCAGGCACCTGTCCGCTGTGTGCCAGTGTCCGGTCCAGAGGCTTCTCGTCGTAGCTTGGGTGTCCAGTGATGGGATGTTCGCCGGTGCCCTTGGTGACAGTGAGCTCGAACTCGCCCAATTCCTTCGTCTGCCCTTTCAGAACTACATCGCCCTCGATGCCAGGCTCTTCGGGGTCGACATCTTCAATGCCCAAGTTGCCAAATCCAGCGAGCGTGTTGTACCAGACGACAGTCGTGCGTAGGTTTGGGCCAGCGTCTTCTCGTGGCGTGCCTTTGATCCTCGCGCCCCAGCTGCCGCCATGCTCTCCGCCAGGGAATTTGATGAACTCGGTGGTGATGTCAATCTTATTCGCAGGGTCGTGGATCGTTTGTCGGCCGCCGCTGCGCACATCGTATTCGTCCCAGCCGTAGCCATCGAGCTCGTGTTGCTCGCACGTGTGTCGGAAGTCTACACAGTCAGCAATGAGTTCGATTCAAGCATGGCATTGCAGACGTACTGTGCTGCACGCTTTGGTAGTCTTCAACGCGCGTCCACATCAGACCGCCCATCAAGCTTTTAGGTATGCGCGGCCGGACGCCAAAGTAGAGGTTTGGGCGGTAGGGTCCCCATAGCAAGCTCGCATTGGTGGCCTTCTCGATTTCGGCGACCTGCGCACTTACGAAGGGCAACTGAAGTGCGAAAAGGCACGTGAGCCCCCTCCACAGGGTGCCATGCCGAGATTCGCGCGTCATGGTGTTGAGTGAAGCTGAAGCTGGAGCTGGAGCTTTGCGGGGGTTTGGGACACATTTCGCGGAGCACCCGCAACTTCCTCGGCCGTTGATTGGCCGAGGTGGAGGCGCCTTCCGGATTTGCTCGTCTGCAATCGTGAAATAGCGGAAGAGACGAATTGCAGTATCAGTACGCATATGCATCTATGTTCAGATGTGTCACCACGATGCTGGAGGAGGCCAATGAAACAGTGTTATCGTAGTTGTCTCAATTTATCGAGCCTGAGTCCTCCAAGGACCCTGAACTGGTATATCTTGTATCTGCAGCCAGGTTCGACGCATCCTAACTTGTTCTGCCCAGGTTAGACTAAGGAAGCCCGTAGAGTGCAGGAGAGAAGAGAAGGCACCATACCATGAGCCGCGTGATTATGAATGTAGAGCCTTCCATGACGTCCCAGAGCTCACCCAGTCCCCCAAATCCGCTCAAGTGCGTCCTGCTCCGCGAGATAGTGCCTTAGGTGAACGGCAGAAGATATCGTGACCCCAAGAGATACCGCCAAGTAGTGTATAAACCCTCTGCAAATGAGCCATTCCTCCTCGATCTCTCCATATCCGACCCCAACCCCCAGTCTCCGAACATCCTTGCCAACGTTGTGATCCTAAATCTCACTCTCTATCCGCCTCCTCAACTCCTACTAGGACTCAACGGCCTATTAAATCCACCCTGCCGATTCATATACTGCCTAGCCTGCAACTGCTTATCCTTCCTCACCCCAAAGTTCTTATCGTTCCCGGGCACCTTTGTGTTCTTCGTGCTCTTGAACCCGCCGAACCCCATGATCTTCAGCATCTCCCACTCGTCGTCGTCCATGTCCTCTGGCTTCTGGCGCTCATCTTTCATCTCGACGTCGGGACCTGTGTCCTCGTCTTCCTTCTTGATGGGGTCGACAGTGGAGGCGCGGGGACCGGTGGGAGGCGCTCGTGCGATGCGAGCAGGAGGCGCGTTATCGCTGCGAGGTCCTTTGGGCGGTTGCGGCGAGCGGTCGCGGAAGTTGGGGCGCTCGTCTCGTCCACCTCCACCTCCTCTCCTGTCGTCGCGGCCCCGTCCGCGGTCGTGACCTCGTCCTCGTCCTCTTCCTCCCCTGAATCCACCGTCGCGCTCGTCTTTGCGGAAGGGCGATCTCGAACGGTACCGGTTGTCGCGTCGGCCGCCGCGTTCTTGCGGACTGCGCGAGCGGTTGCCGCGGCGCTCGGTGGGTGTGCCGCCTCGGTCGCGATTTTCACGGGGTGCGCGCCGGGTGTCGCGCTCGAAGGGGTCGCTGTAGGTTGCGCGTGGTCGCTCGTTGTCTGCCATGGTGTAGAGGGGGGTGTGGGGGGTGTGGGTGTGGTTGGCGCAAGGGAATTGTTTGGTGAGTTGGGGAAGTTTGGGCGCCAAGGCTGAGGGTTCAGCCCTACCATGGTGCAGGTGCTATGCGCAAGGCTCAATCACGATACGTGGAAGTCGAAGAGCTAGGTTAGTAGGCAGAGTATCACTTCACTGATGTCAAGCAAAGCGCAGTATCGATTGATTTTATCATGTTATTCGTTATCTATGGCTGCCGCATCTTGAGAAGACGCAACACCATCCGTCTGTAAGACCGTCTCCCAATGGAAGGCAAGAGCTTTCTCGCAGTGTGCTCTCATCTCATTGCCTGCGCATCGCGCATCTCGCTCTCCCATCAATGATTGCCGTAACGCCGTCGCCCTACCAGACAGGGTATCTCAAAAGCTCAACTCAAACCTGCGACCAGCGCCGATATCCTCAACCCAACGACCAAGGAAACGCACTCAGATCTCATCCTCCTCCTCGTCAAAGTCATCCTCAGAGCCCATGTCATACAGGATGCGACCACCCTCACCAGCACCCCCACCCTTCTGCGCATCAAAGTAAGGCAGCACAACCTCCTCACGAGCCTGCTTCTGCTTCTCCGTGAGAGCAAGGTTGAAAGTCGAGTTGGGGTTCTCAGCGGCATCTTGGATGAGGCCGGACACGTTACCGGCGTATGCGGGCTGCATATCGAGGAGGATGACGTATTCCTGCTTGAGAGTGCCGTTGGGGATGCCGGGCATGGGGTCGTGGTAGTCTTCTGGGTGAGGCGTGCGGAGGAAGTACGTCTCGCCCTCTGGCTTGCCGGACTTGCGTCGAAACTCTGCCTCCATGACGATGCCGCGGTTGTCGTTGGCGTCGAGGTCTTGGATGATGCCTTCGGCGGCTTCCAGCATGCCCCAGGTGGGCTCGGGCAGGCTGCGCTCAGCGGCGGCTTTGGCGGCGAGGCAGTG